ATAAAATTGAAGACAAATACTTTTTTTTTTTAGTATATATATATTTTTTGGATTTTTAATGAAGTTTTTTAAAGGAAAAATATCAGTGGTAAGGCCAAAAAAATCACAACTTACGAAAAAATTTATAGTAACATTTGGTAGAATTTTCTAAATATAATTTGAGAGTAGAAATTATATTTTGAATTTGTGAGTTTTGGAATTATGATTTGAGTGTGAGTTATGTGTTTGGTTATGAGTTTTAAAAATAATTTTTTAATTGAGTTTTGTTTTATGTGTTTGGTTACGATTTGAGTGTAGAATTGTTTTTAAATTTAAAATATTAACATTTTAAATTATTTAAATTTTTTGAATATTTAAATTATTTAAATTTTTACGATTTAAATTTTTTAAATATTTATTTTAATTTTTTACTTATTGAATTTTTAGATTATTTAAATTATTTAAATATTTATGATTTAAATTTTTTGAATATTTATTTTGAAAAAAAAATTATTTTCTTTGCATTTTCTATGAATAATAAATTTTTTTAATTGAATTTTAAAAAGAGTTTGATTATGAGTGTTGATTAAGATTTTCAATAGTGTGAAAGTAGTGTGTTTTGTTGTGAGTTATAACAATTTTAATTAAGTTTTGAAAACTCTTTTCAAAACTCATAACCAAACAAATTTTTTTACTTCACATGTCAAATCAAACTTTCAAAACTCAATTCCACATTCAATTCAAAATTTAATTTAACACTCTATTCAAAAACTATAACCAAACAAATTTTCTACACTCAAATCATAAATCCACAACTCACAGACTCAAAATACAACTCATACTCTCAAATTATATTTACAAAACTCTACTAAACGCAACCTAAGTCTTTATAAGTACCCACAGAATAAGGGGTTATTTGGAGTGTCCTAAATAAGTGCACTTTTTGTCTTTTTGGATTAAAAAATTGAGGAAAAAAATATTGATGTTTGGGTTAACTTTTTTACTTTTTATGAAAAAATGTGCATCAAAAAATTGTATAAATTAGTGTGTTAAGGAAAATTAAGATTGAGAGATGTGCAGCCGTAATTTTTTACTTTTGATGAATAATAATAACTTTTTAACTTTTTAAGTAATTTTTTAATTTTTTAATTTTTTTTTAGATTGTCAAACTTGGCCTAAGTTATCATTTGCCATTCCAATCGAATCCACAACTCACAAAACTCAAAATATAATTCATATTCTCAAATTATATTTACAAAACTCTACTAAACACAACCTAAGTCTTTATAAGTACCCACAGAATAAGGGGTTATTTGGGGTGTCCTAATAAGTGCATTTTTTTTCTTTTTAGATTAAAAAATTGAGGAAAAAAATATTGATGTTTAGGTTAACTTTTTGACTTTTTATGAAAAAATGTGTATTAAAAAATTGTATAAATTAGTATGTTAAGAAAAATTAAAATTAAGAATTATACAGCCATAATTTTTTACTTTTTATGAATAATTATAACTTTTTAAGTAATTTTTTAATTTTTTAACTTTTTTTTAGATTGTCAAACTTGGCCTAAGTTATCATTTGCCATTCCTATCATTTGCCATTCCTATCGAATCCACAACTCACAAACTCAAAATATAATTCATACTCTCAAATTATATTTACAAAACTCTATTAAACGCAACCTAAGGCCTCGTTTGGAAACATGCTAATTTAGTAACTTTTTGACTATTTGGCTAAAATATTAACTAAAAAAAATTAGTATGTTTGAGATGACTTTTTGGCTTTTTATGAAAAGATGTGCAAAAAGTGGAGACAAAAGAGAATCTTTGACTTTTTGGTATGTGTTGTTGGCTTTTTGGCTAATTTAGTAACTTTTTGACTTTTTTACAAAAATAGAGGGTTCCCAAACGAGGCCTAAGTCTTTATAAGTACCCACAGAATAAGGGATTGTTTGGAGTATCCTAAATAAGTGTACTTTTTGTCTTTTTGATTAAAAAATTGAGAAAAAAAATATTGATGTTTAGGTTAACTTTTTAACTTTTTATGAAAAAATGTGTATTAAAAAATTATATAAATAAGTATGTTAAAAAAAATTAAAATTGAAAATTATACAGCCATAATTTTTTACTTTTAATAAATAATAATAACTTTTTAAGTAATTTTTTAATTTTTTAACTTGTTTTTTAAATTGTCAAACTTGGCCTAAGTTACCATTTGCCATTCCTATCCAAACCACCAACACCGCCCTGTCTAATTTCTTTTAAATACAAAACGATGTCGTTTGCAGGAAAGCTGCCCTCGAGAGGATTCGAAAGCGCAAAATGCTAAAAACTAAAGTTAAAATTGTGCAAAGCAAGCTATGAGGGCACACGACAGCCACCAAAGATCTTCTAGAGTGAAATTTTCCTAAAGTTTCCTAGAGTGCTACATTGTGTGGTTGAGAGTGCTACATTGATGTGACTTGCCAGTAAATCTCAACCACACAATGTAGCACTCTAGGAAACTTTAAGAAAAAACCATTTTAGAGGATCCTTGCTCCACGACAGCAGCATATTCTGGTTGAGATAGAGAGAAAGGAGGGGGAGAAAGAGAGATGGGTAGCAAGAAGAAAATATTGAGCAAGTATTTCATACACGAGCATACATTGGAACTGAACGATCATAAGGCGGAGGACAACATAGGTGATGATTGCATTGTGTGCGGAGAATCCGTCTCGAATGGGCAATACTATCGTTGCAGTGTATGCCCTAGTACACTCATCCATCACTATCCCTGCTCTGAAATTCAATTCCAAATCGATCAACACCCCTTTCACCCTCCTCACCGCACCCTTTTGTTTTCCCAAAAAGGCTATCCAAACCTCTTTTGCGATGCTTGTGGTCGCTGTTGTTCTTTCGGAACTTACAAGTGTGGTGACTGTGATTTTGTCCTCGATGTCAAATGCGCTCTGCTAACCAATAACAACAGCCACCACCACCACCAACCCAATCACTTCCATCCCTTGATATCTTGTAAAAATAAGTATAAATTTTTTTCATATACATGCTGTTACTGCGATATACGAATCGATGGAGATTGGGTCTACGCATGCCTAGAGTGCAAGGGTTTTCTCGACCATTCATGCGCTGAGTTGCCCTGGAAAATCGAGCACCCGTTTCACTCCTTGCATCCTCTCGTCCTCCTCCACCGGCAAACCTCAGATTGGCAACTGCACAGGTGCAGCGTCTGCTCAGGTGAGCAGGCAATCTATTTCGCTTACCACTGTCTTGACTGTGGGTTTGTTTCAGACTTTCATTGTGCTGGTTTGAAACCGGAACAAGCTCAGACTCAGATTCAAATTCAACAATTCACCCACTCACATCCCTTGGTTGTCTGCAAAAAATTTTGGAAAGTTCCCTTTTCGCCGCTGCTATGCGTGCCGCCTCTCCTTGTCCGATTCCATCTATTTTTGCCCTGAATGCTGTGTCCTGCTTCACGAATCCTGTGCTGATTTGCCTCCAGAAATCAATCACCTCCTTCACCCTAACCACACTCTTACCCTCCGCAACAATCCGCCTAGTCCCATTACATTTTCATGCCGACAGCAATGTGGGGCATGTTTAAGCTATCTTGGTGGTATTTTCTATGAATGTTCCGATTGCGAATGGTATATGGATGTTAGATGTGCTTTCTTGTCAAAACCCACCCTTATGAGGTCTAAAATTCACCGCCACCCTCTTGCTTTGGTCTGCGGGGAAGATAACGCTCGGGTATATTGCTATACTGGCAGCAATCTCTGCTTGTCGCGTATCCCTTTCTTCCGTTGTGTGTGGTGCAATGTCAATCAACATGTCCATTGTATTTCAGCATTACCGCCTACCCTCAAATACAATAATCATGTCCATCCCCTTACCCTCACCTATTGTCCAATTAAAGACCGGCCGGATGAAGATGATAACGCAGAGTTTTACTGTGATGCTTGTGAAGAAAGAAGGGATCTAGCGCTACCAACTTATTATTGTAAGGATGGATGCCAGTTCGTTGCTCATCCTCATTGCGTGGTGTCTGAGGTATGTCTGCATATTAAAATTGTAATCAATATGTCTGCAGTTTTCTTTTCATTTAAAATCGGGATTCCCTTGATCTTATTTCTATTTTAGCTATTGGAATTCAAGTCATATATATGTAAAATCGATATAAAACATATCAAAAGGTAGGACTATTGTAAATGATCATCATACATTAATCGGCAGCAATCCTCAGTAAGAGAAGCTGCCATCCAATTTACCATCATACATTAATCGGCAGCAATCCTCAGTAACAGAAGCTGCCATCCAATTTACCACAGTATGAGCTCCATCCACACTTTTAGATCTGATTGAATGGTGGTAAGGTAAGGACGTGTAAGGACATCTAAAACAAGAACCATCAACAATGTAGAGAAGTAATTCTGTTTTAATAATTTAATCTCATTTTTCACTATTTGCTCTTTTTTATTCCATTATTCTGACTTCACTTTGTCTTGATAATTAGATCATACATAGTCTAGAAGAAGAGTGGTCAAAGCATGGAAAAGTTGAGGTAAAAATTGATTTTGTTGATATTGCCCTTAAAACTGTTCTATCTACAAATTTCTTAGTTCTACTTGAGCCTTCTAGTGAAAGTGCCTACGTTCTTCAGGCTCTTCTTCTTCATTTTCCTTTCGTTTATGTCCCCATTTTTCCTTCTTTTATTTTCTTTGAAGTTGTGCTTCTGCCATTGCTTAACTCATTCAAAAAGTCAACATCTTGATTTTGTGTTTTCTGTAATTTTCAGGAGCTACGTGCACTAACATTGAAAGAATTTTTAGATTCATTTACAGAGGATGAGAACAAAGAAGTGCAAGGTCTTTTCAAAGCCTACAAAAGGAGTGTTCAAGGAGAAAAAGGCAAGATCTTGCTATGTTTATACCCAGGACGGGGATGAGGATGAGGATGAGGACAACAAAACAGATATGATCAAGGTCCTGATGAAAAAGTTTGTTTCTGGAGTCACATTGCCTAGGGAAAATTGGGATTCCACATCAAAGGTTATTGAGGATGGAAACAACATGATTTTGGAGGATCGGGTGTCCATCCTAGAAGTCTTGCTTTCCAAATTCGGGGACTTCAGTAAGAGTTCAAGACTTGGTACAAAGGCAACGATGTTATTCACAGTGACAGTATGTGAAGCTGTACACGACATATGCAGCACCAGGATCGGGGAAATAACTACAAGTCAACTTTTGATCTGGCTTCACTCCTTCGCTCTTGCTCAATATGCAGGCTTTGAAATTCAGTTTGTCATTGCTCGTTTGACAGAACTGGTGCGTACTCACTTTGGTCGCCAAGCTGATTATGACATTCCTGTAGACCTTGAGCTTGCCAAAATGGGTGTCCCGATTGCGACACAACTTGCAGTCGTAGATTCTAAAGAGCTCACCAATATTGAACAAGATGGAGAAACTGATGATGATCTCTGGAAGAAGGTATCTTGGCAGCTAACCATTATGAAACTAGATGAAACCATTGAAGATCTTAAAAAGAAGAAACAGGCACTTTTGAAGATGCAGGAGGTTAGGTGCTTAAGAAATGAGTGCCTGGGTGATGTTCTAGGCCTAATGGGACAAATGGCAGGCGCAAGCCTATTGTGAAAGGGTCTACTACTACTAGCAACTACCATTGTTGCAGCAGGTTTGTGGTCCTTGGCTCTTGCGTTGATTTGATTATGTCATTTCGTATGAATCATTATGTACACGTAACCAACCACATAAAATAGAGGCCCAACACTCCATTGATCACAATTATTCTTCACTTTAATTCCTATTGTTTCAAATTAAACTATTTGGTCCGTAAAAAAAGTTTTTCATTAGAAAATATTTTTCGCCCAAACAAATGGAGCGTACAACATTACTCTCCCAAAAAATCTCAATTGCTCTACAATTAATAATGTTGCTGAAATTTTTTGTGAGACAATGCTAATTACATCAAGACTCATTTAAATTAAATAGTTGAAATAAAAATAAATAGCTTTTTGAGAGCATCACATACATAAAATAAAACCCCCCATAATACTGAAGTTATATCCCACTTTCTCATTTACGACCTAAAAATTAGGCACAACGTGGGCAATATTTTACAGGGCCAATTTGGTCATATGCATAGACAATTAGAGATGTGTTGTAGATAGCCTTCACCAGATAGCCTTGGCACCTAGTCAAAACAGTTTCAAAAAAAAAAAAAAAATTACTGAAAATGAAATATTAATTGAAAATGTAATTGGAATTTTTTTTGATGTAATTACCAACAAAATTAAATAAATATAGAGCGAAAAATAAATATTGGGTAAAAACAATCATCACAAGAAGACACCAAAATTTACATAATTTAACAAACTCTGTTTACGTTTACAAATATTTTTTTCTCATCCTTTATCTTGAATAACATGTTTGTAAAATATCCACTATCACTAAAATAATACTGGCTGGCTACACCGGATCTCAAAATTAATAGATACGCATAATTTAGTAATTTTGTTTTCTTTAAAGAAATTCAAACTCATTATAATTGAGAAAACTTTTTCAACTAGAGTAGCTGATTGTTGATCATCACATTTTATTTTTTTTCTCCCCCATAATAAAATAGATTGATTGATAATCATATCCACTCAAACCAATTATGCACAAGTTTGGTGAGTTCAAAGTTTCATAACAAAATATCTTTATAAATTATCTAAATGTTTTTGCATAAAAACACAATACACGCTGATAAATTCACAACTCTTCTTTGTGCCCACTACCAAAGGGTTAGGTTTTTATTTTTTATTTTTTTTATATAGTGAATTTATAAGGCAATTATATTTTTTTTTTTAAAAAGTAAGCACCTTACCAAAGAGTTAGGTTATATTATATTATTTATATATATAGGGAAAAGGATCTTTTTAAGGACAATAATTGTGGATGATCCAATCTTTCAAACTAATTTTGTTAATTTGTTAATTTTTAAAGAAATAAAAAAATATACATATTGGTTAGTTCCTTAAGTCAAAAATCCAAAAACAAAAAAGTTTTAGGAAAATGACTCAGAGCTCGAAACTGAGAGGCTCGAAACAGCTCAAATTTTTTTTTCCTTTTCAAGCAAAGGAGCTCTGCACAAACAGAGGAAAGAGGAGAGGAGAAAGAGGGAGAGAAGAGAGGAAGAAGAGAAAGAGGAGGAGGCAGCACCACCGCCGCCGATCGTCGCAGCACCACCTCCTCGCCGATCGTCGCAGTCGTAGCACCACCGCCTCGCCGATCACAGCTCGTTGCAGCACCACCGCCTCCGCCACTGGTTGAGGCCCCCTCCTGTCCAGTTCTCCCTTCTCCCTTCAAGTCAAAAATTCAAAAACAAAAAAAGTTCTAATTATCTATAATTTTGAATTTTAAAATTCAAAACAATATGATAAGTTACCTTCACTCTTTCCAAAAATAATGTTGATCAAAACAATTCAAATAAAAAAAAAATATAAAGACACTAATTATCTATAATTTTGAATTTCAAAATTCAAAATAATATGGTAAGGCACATTCATCCCACTCTTACATTTTTCCAAAACTAATATAAATCTAAAATTTTAAAAACTCAATTAAATTAAAAATTCAATACAATTATCTCTTTAAAATACTCAATATTTGATATTTTTTCCAACCCATGAAGATGCAGGAGGTTAGGTGCTTAAGAAATGAGTGCCTGGGTGATGTTCTAGGCCTAATGGGACTCCAAACTTATTTCAAGTTTGTTTGTTTGTGATTTTTTTTTTTTTTGTAAATTTATATTTTCGTGTAAGTATTTTTTTTTTCTTTATATGACTTTTTTTTCCAATGTATTTTTTTTCCAACTAAATTGATAATAAATATATATTTGTTAACTATCTTTGTTTTGGGAGTTGATTTGATTTTTTTTTTTTTGTGGATGTTTGTGTATTTTTTATATTGTTGTTATTATTTATTTTGATATATGTGAATTGATAATATAGTTATGAGTTTTTTTTTAAAATTTATTTATAGAATAAGGCTTCTTATATTATTCTTTATGATTTGGCCATTTTTTAAAATTTCTTAAACAAAATTTTCAAATTTTTTATTTGTAAAAAATTAAAAACATTTAATTGACTTGTCCATCAATAAATAAAATTTTAAATAATGAACATTATTCCATAATTTATGGATTTAAAAAAAAAAATTAGCACCCATATATAGAATACGAAAACCTAAAATCACGTTTTTTTTTTTTTTTTTTTCCTTTTTTAACTCTTTAAAACTCTAACGGTACCTTTTTATTTCCACAATTTTGGCTTTTTATATTTACAAAGAAAAAAAAAAATTAGACCGAAGTTGTATAATGGTTAGTGGAGGTGGTGAGTATGGCAATAACAAGGGTGATGATGAGCTCGGCCAGAGCATTGTTTGGGTGGATTTTGAAAATGTGAATATTAAAAGAACAGTAAATAGTTTGCATGATGAATTGATTTAGAAAACTAATGTGTGGTTGAGATTAAGTGTGAATTTTACCATATAAAAATTGAATATGGATCACATATTATTTTTTATATATAATTTTGGGTACTTTTGTGTAATTATCAAAAATTATTGTGACCACACGTTACTTATCAATTAATATATTATTGTTGTATTATCGTAATAAATTTTATTATTAATGTCTATTATCAATGTAGTGATGAGACGTCACATGATAAATAAAAATATGTTTTGTTATTATTATTATTGATAATATATTTCTTTATTTATCTTTTTACAATGTTCAAAAAATTAATTTATGTTTATTGTTAGTTTTTGTGGATGAGAAGTCAAAAATAAATTTTAACCAAATTCAAGTTATAACTAACTTGAGATTGAAAAGGAAATTTCAAAAGAAATTATAATTATATATAATTTTAAAATATTTTTAAAAAAATACAAGGAAAAATTGGAATTATAAATTAAAATTATCAAACAACCTAATTCTATGAAAAAATTTAAATGAAAAATTGATCAAATTTGAATTTATAATTATTAAATATTTTTAATAAGCCATTAATTTTTATTCAGATTCTAGCTTGATCTGGTCTTAAATAGTTTTTCAGATATAAATATATCTTAATATTGATACCATCAATATTAGACATATTTTAAGAAGGGTAAATTATATCGATTGTCCTCACATTTTGTCTCTTGTGTCAATTTGGTCTTGATAATTTCAATTAGTTTGATTTTCACCCCTAATTTAGATTTTGTACTAATTTGGTCCAATTGATGATGCCGGTTAAGATTTTTGAAAGAAAATAGTTATTGTGTCGGTTGAGATTAACTTATTGAGTTGAACAAGTTTATAATTTTGTCTATAAAAGTATAACAGATGCTACTCATGTATGTATTTTCAATAAAATAAAAAAAAAATTTAAAAAAACTAGCAATTATAACAATTGGACCAAATTGAGGCAAAATTATAAATTTAAAGTCAAAATTGAACAAATTAAAATTGCAAGGACAAAAATAACACAGGATTTAAAATATAGGGATTAGTAATGCAATTTATCCTTTTAAGAATAAGTACATAATTTCTTAATTAATTTTGAAATTGTTAATAAATATATCAAATAAATATGTACATAATTTCCCGAGAGACAAAATATAAAAAAATTATATTTACGTGGCACGTAAAGGGTAATTTGGGGAGTTAAAGCAAATTTTCAATCAGCAACAAACACGTGGCAGTTCATATTGGTAATAATAGATCTGCGCAGCATTGAAGCAGTTAGAAAGCGCAAGATGACGTGATCCAACGGTTACTCACAAATTCAAATTCAAGAGGGAAGCCTAACTGCAAGAATGGCGTAGTGGAGACTAACTGTGTGTTGGCACCATAAAATAACAATATTATTATTATTATTATTATTATTATTATTATTATTATTATTATTATTATTTTCAGGACACGTAGTATCCTCTTATTCATTTAGAAGTTAAAGGAAGTTATGGAGACGATGCAGAATATGAAGGACAAAGTAGATGAATAGAAGGACACTGTAACGAGTTGAATCAAATTGAATTTTTGCCCTTATTATTATTGTTGTGATGTCGTGAACCATTCTATTTAAATTGGTGAAAATAAATTGAATTACTTCATTATTTCGACTTCGTAAGACCCGCTAGGCAAAATTATTATTTTTTTTAGTTTTAGTTATAGTGATTCTTGGGTCTTGAGTAATAAATGAGATATAAATTCAATTTTTGGGTTTTATTTGATTAGCCCATACATAATCATTTTGGTTCATATTTAATTATGTGAATGTTGGGGACCACCTTAAGTCTTTTAAAGTTAATTTATACTTTAATCTCAGTTGGGGATTTATTTTAAATTATTAAACTACATTCATTTTGGACCCAATTGATTGAATCGTGACCCGTTAGTAACCATATAATATTGTTGGTGTTTTATTATTATTATTTGATTACCATAAACGAGTTGTGAATATTTATGGTGTGCACTATTAAACGAAATATATTTTGTGGTGAGAAAATAATTATATCATTTTATTTCTTATGTTACAAAATATTTTAATGTTCCTAAAATATACCTTTAGTTATATATATATATATATTTATATTTATATCAACAATGATTCATCCCACATTTTCCCCCACCCCCTTTGACCCCCTCTCTCTCTCATTGGTTACATTTTCTTTTTCTTTTTCTTTTTTTTCCTGCTCCTCCAATCACCACCCGCCACGTGACAAAGGGGGTGAGGGGATGACCCCCAAAAGGGGGTCCCAAGCATTATTCTATTTATATATACACGGGTGTGGTTCAAAGATGGTGGAAGAAAATGATTAAAAAAAACAAAGTGGCTGAACCTTATCTCTCTCTCTCTGGGTGCATAACAGAGGGCTTGTGGGCCTATTAGAAAACAAAACACATCATCATTTTATTCTCTCTCTCGGCTCTCGGTTCTCTCTCTGTCTTAGATTTTTTTTTTTTTTTTTCTATTTTACATCTATCATGTAAAGCCTTTGATCCACCAAAATCGATTAAGTTTTAGACCCTAGTTCTTGAGGCCAAAATGAAGAGCTTGGCGAGAGCAACATTTTGACCGGCGGAGATCGAAATTCGACAAAATCAAAAATTTAGATTTTTGCTTGTTTCCTCTTCTAGCTTGAGATAGGGATATTTCCTACACTTCCTCATGTACTTTTACTTGATTATATGGAGCTTAGAGTTGTATATAATTTAATTAGAATTTTTAGAAAATTTGTGATTTATTTGCTTAAAAGGAAAATTTTTAGAAAAATAAAAAGTTGATGCCCAAATTGCGAAAGTGTAAACTTGGAATATGTTTGTAAGGTTATGAAAGAGCTATGTTTTAAATTTGAACAAAAACGGACTTCGCCTCGATCGGTTTTGAAATTTTTATCGGTTTGCAACCAAAAGAGCATTTTTAAAGAAAACAAAAGAATTATGTTTAACTTTTGGGGCTTTTGATCAAAATAGGATTTCATAGTTGAATAATGCTTGGAGAATGAGTTTGGGAAGAAAATGATGTTTTCTTGGGCATTAACGGTATTATTTTGCTTAATGTATCTATTGGAATAAAACCGACACGATTAGAAATGGACCTTGAGAGGTTATCGGACGTGATTGTAATATTAAAACTAGTGCAGTTGTTTATATTTGATGAGATGTGGAATAGATTGTATTTATCAAAATTTTTGAAATTTAATTGTTTAAATATCTGTTTAGAAATATCTGTTTTGGG